GGTGCCCTTGTTAATATACTCTACAAACGGACCGAGTTTGGTCCGAAAAGTCAGATGTCTCTAATTAAAGAACATTTTATGCGTGGTTTTCCCGTTCGTGACTTACCAAAAAATTATTTACAAGAATTCCGATATTTCGACCGAATTGGCCTCGTTTATCATCAGGAAATGAACAGAAATATAAACAAACCCCTTGGTCAGTTGGTGTTTGACACTAGACCGGTTATCGGTTAAATTATGAATCCTGCTACACGCCGCGGAAATGTCGATGAAGCCACTGCAACGGTTGCAAATTCTACTTTTGCCGGTTCAATGTGCAACCACTCCTTGATTAACAGCTTTACCTCATTCCGGTGTCGATCGACCGTCGTTTCATTGCTGTTTTTAAAATCATGGCCATTCTCCAGGGCATGAGCAAAAAAATCAGAATGATCAGCGTCGTGGAACCTGATGGCTCTTTGGTGCTCCGTTAATCTAGTTCTAACGGTCGACAGGTTTTGCCAACGTGCATCCGATCCCAGCTATTGCAAGCTATTTGACAAACCACGTTTTTACTCCTAAAGCTGGGCTGAGGATCAAGTTTCTTCTGAAGAGGTTTCCTAAGGTTTTGTCCTTGCAGAACAATACGTTAAGATGGTAGAATTTTTAGATATTGTCTACTTTTTTGGACATGACCAAAGACATACTATACTCATATCTGAGGCAGCTGCATGTTAACCCATACATAATCTAGATATCAGCAAAATTATCTAGACATTAGCAGTGATTAGCCACGCGGTTCATTTGGCATTGAAACCTGGCACTTGGTGACCCACAGGTCTCCTTCCAATCACCTCTCTTGCTTTCCATTTCTACCAATTAGTGCTGGCGCATTAGCGGTACCACTGCATAAATCATGCTGATGTGATGACACAAGGGCAGCCTTCTCTGTGATAAGTGTTTGAGATTTCACTACATACAAAAAATACGGGAAACCCGTTTAAGTGGGCTAATTCTGGCGGAAAGTTTCAATATGTCAACCGTGAAACTAGCTTAAGTGAACACTACGGCACACGATAAGTTTCCTAAACCCTAGATATAACAGAGAAAACATTTTTGTTGTTATTATATCATCGTCATGAAATATAGAACTTAAGCGGCAGAACAACCCACATTTATGCCGTCTTACCTTTAGAAATGGTATCTCAGATTGACGTTAGGCATTGACTGTTGTGGCAAAGGTCACATCTTCCTCGCCAGCAGGGCTGCCAGTGACATGCATGCACATTTTGCATTGTCCTTCAACGATCATTTGACAGTACTCACGTGAAGAAAATTTTGAAAATAATTCCCAGGCCGTTTGGGCAGTCATGTGACAGTTTTCTCAGATGACTGTTCGTCAGCAGCCGCTAGTTTGTGACCCAGTGGTACAAGCCTACAATGAGGAGACTTCCTGAACGACGTTGTCTCGTGAAGCTGTCCCGACGTGCTTCATGATGTTTCAAGGCTGCTTTTAGGATGGTGATTTTTGTGCCTGTTCCTATACTTCAATCTTTCATATGCCGTACAGCTTGCCGAAATTCGCTGATGCCCGTCGAATCGCGAGTTTACTTCAGGATAAATGTCGTCACTGTTAGCCAATGCAATTCCAAGGTATTTGAAATGGTTCAACTCTTCAGACGTAATAACATTTCATAATGTCCTTGGACTGCTGGTCGCGGCAGACCCTCTCTCATAATCTTAATAACGCTGGTGTTCACTTTTAACCCCACCTGGATAACGGTGTTGCACATGGTTTCAGCGAGTATCAGCAAGTCACTCAGCAGCACGACATTATCGACATACACAAGGCGTACAATGGACGAATACAAAACAGAAAAAGCAAGTATTGAAAGAGTGGATCCCTTATAGGTTGACGACGCTCATAACGACATTAAAACTATAATATTTAATGAAACTCAACAGCAAACCGATTAATTAATTGAACCAAAGCACAGATAATGAAGAGTAAATGACTAAACAAGTTTTGGTCAGTTAATCAGCTAGTGAAATTGACTTATATGAACTATAAAGCACACGATAATTTGTTGGCCAAACCCTGGATATTACAATGAATAAGAACTACCAGCATGAAAATGGATCCATAGCAGGTTGACTAAACTCTGGTCCAAAATACCTGTCCTTGTTTCTTGGGATCAATCTAATAAGGGGCAGTGACGAGAACGACTAAACTTCGGTATACCTCGGTCCGGCACTTGCAAGGAACGCACACAGATCTTGTACTAATCCGCTTCGAAAGACATGGGTACAGCGAACGAGATGGGTCGATTAGAATAGAACTGAAGGAGCAACAGTTGTCTTCATCAAGTACCTGGCTGGGAGGCACCAAAATACGACCATATTACAGAGTCGGCCATGTGGTTTCAAGAGGCTCCGGATGTGAAGTGGTTTTTCTCCAGAGACTACAGAAGATGTAGACATTTACAGCGTAGATGAAGATTTTCAGAATGCAACATTTGGAGGCCATATCAAGTTGTTGCCGCACTTTACAGCTGATAGAGCGAGTTCCGAACATGCTCTGTTTACACACCATCTGAAAATATTCCCATACAACCAGGAAGAAACTGTTACCAATTGAGTCTGCGGATAGAAGAGTATTTGCTCCCTGGACGAACAGCATCGTTTTTAAATGGAAAGTTACGAAGATACGCTAAGAAATGAAACTCCGCCATTGGCGGTCCTAAGCCCGGATGAGAAAGGAGCAGCGTTGGAGACCGTGGCAAGTCTCCGTAAAATTCAGCCACCTGCCACTCATGGTACTGACGCCCTCGAAAATTATACCGGTTCGGTCGTCGCCCGGGTTACCAAGGGCCGCGCAGGCTGTTGGGGGACTGAGGC